CAAGCGTCTGGATATCAAAAGTAACCATGACTCACCTGTATTCACCCTTGACATGAGTATGTCCAACTTTAAGTTCCAAGGGGCGGAGGATTTTTTTTTAATTTTCTCTAAATTGTCGATGTCCACTTTGTAAATAGGGTTCCAAACCTGAGAACAATAATCAAAGTGCGATCGCACTAAGGCAAAATAAAGTGTTTTTAAAGACAAACAAGACAATTCCTTACAATTACGCTAGATGAGACCCCACATACTCATTGCTTTCTTGACAATATGTGAATAATGATTCTTAAATGAAAGGGCTGTATGGAAAATGACTCCCAAATCTTTAATTTCCCAGGCACGAGATATTAAATCAGTGTCCAAATAATAATCAAAATTAATGTGTGACTTTGTATTAAAAAAAGATATTATATGGCACTTCTTAATATTTAAAGGAAGCCAGTGTTCATCACAGCAACTATACAATTTATACACATCCAGCTGCAGTTGTTTCGAATCTTGAACAGAACGTATCATTGCAAATAATTTCAAGTCATCCGCATACAACAAATAATTGCAATATTGAAAAGACAATGTCAAATCATTAATAAATAGTGTAAAAAGAACTGGCCCACAATGTGAACCTTGAGGAACACCAGACGAAGCCCAAAACGAATCTGAAATAAAATTATTAATACGAACCTGTTGCCATCTACCATAAAGAAATAAAGATAACCACTTCACTGTCAAATCTTTAAAACCCAGTTTTTGAAGTTTTATAATCAGTAACCGATGATTGACACGATCAAAGGCCTTCGCAAAGTCCGTATAAATAGTATCTACCTGAATACGGTTAGATAATGCATCGTTTAGAAATGACTGATATTTTACCAAATTAGACATTCCGCATCTCTTAGGATAAAAGCCATGCTGTTGACAAGAAATAATCTGCGACGATGCCCATTGAAGTTGACTTGATACTAGTGAATCCAGCAATTTAGGTATTGCGGACTGATTACATACCTACACCCCTGTAGTTTTCAATTTTATCATGTTGGCCCGAATTAAAAATAGGAATGATGTAACTATTCTTCCATAGTTTAGGAACATATCTTTGTCTAATGATGTTTTAAATAATATCAATAAAGGTGAACAAATACAGTAAATACAGTTCTTTAAAACTACGCTTGGCACTCCATCGGGACCAGGATTCATGACGACTTTAAGTTGCATATAAGATTAAAAATATCTGAAACAGTAACATTCAAACCGATATCATTAACTTGATGTGATGAATCTATATTACAAACAAAATTCCTTTGATCATCAACTTCGTAAACAGATGAAAAATACTGTGCAAAAAGGTTAACTATCTCATCTCCATCGTTTCCAGAGTGCTGATTAAGTATCATTTTAGAAGGTATACTAGCATCACTTTCCTTTTTATCTCGAATGAACTTCCAAACAAACTTTGGATCATTTAACATGGACGCATTAACCCTTGTAACATACGAAGCGTATAGATTAGCACTTAAATCATTACATCTGGATCTCAAAGATCTAAAAAATAAATAAACATCGAGTTGCCATATCTTTTATAACTTAAATGTGCTAATTTTTTCTACCAATAAAGATCTTTAAGTTCTTTGTTATACCATACAGGGTAATTGCGCACTTTATGTTTAACAATTTTGTATGGAATGCATTTCTCAAAGCCAGGAAATATTATATCATGGAAAAGTGCAACCATTTCATCTAAATCCTTGTCCACCAAATAAGAATCCCAATATATATTTCCATTATTAAAAGAGTTTCCGAACGTAATGACAGCATATTAACAGAAAAAATACTCCAAGAGCAAGGAATGTGATGAATACTTTCGGGAAAAAGAGGATCTAAGGCGGAAGAAATTTCAATATTGCTAATGTTTTGAAAAAATAAGGTCTAGAAATACATTTCTACTATCAGGAATTGTGTTTACTTGTTTTAGATTTAAAAATTAGCAAGTCATGCTGACAATATTATGCAACTCCTGCGATACAGATGATTGATAAGTATAATATATGAAGAATCTGGAAACCGTTCAAAAATTGATTCTAAATCAGAGCAGAAGTCCTTAAAGCAGAAGCAGGTGGAATATACACTCCCCCAACAATCAGATCTAAGTCATTATATTTTAAGTGTACAAACATACTTTCAACTGACTAATCCCTTAGAACAACGTAAGAATCTAAATCTTTTTTTACTGTTATTAACACTCCACCACCCCGATATTTAGCTTTAACTTCAACATCACGATCTGTACGAAAAAAGTTATAATTATTTAAACACAATTCATCATTAGAAATCCTACTGCACAACCATGATTCTGCAATAACAAGAACATCATAAACACAAGAACTGACGTTCAAAGAAAAATCTTTTAACTTAGTCCTAATCCCGCCTACATTTTGATAATAAAAATTAATTAATTTTTTAGAAGATTGTTACGGGAAGTTCTCTTACTAGTAATATATGCCAGATTGTTTTTATATTTAACAGTTAGATCGGATTCACCTTTGGACAACCTATCTCTAAAATCGTTCAAAACAGATTTGTTAAAATCACGTTGAACCCTGGTCAGATCAGGACGAAAACGATTATTTCGATTGGAGTTGTTTTTATTAGAGCGAAGAATTTCTTTAGCCACATCTTCATTATTACAAACAATCTTTAAAGGACGAATGCTGTCAGGTTTGTAAGAGCCAATACGAATAACTTTTTTGGGTTTAGGGAATGACCCTAACGGAGACAATATATTCATAACTCGATTAATATCATCATCGATTTTTTGATGAGTTGACGATGCTGCAGATTCAGAAATATTATAAATTAATACATTAGAACCACAACGTTTCCGATCCTCCATTTCCGAGATAATAACATGTATGTCACAAACGGCACCAGTAGTGTTTTGGACTGTATTTGGTACTGGTTTTTTAAATACATTCCATTCCTCTTGAATTGTACAAACCTTATTTTCTACCTCTGTTAGTCTGTCACTGATATTCTTAAAGTGATCATCTATAGTTGCTTTAATCTTTTGTTTCATAATAGTTAATTGTTTCTTGATAATGTCTTCAATTAATTCAGCGGATATCACATTAGCAGAACTAGAAGCAGAACAACATTTAGAACATATCCATGGAGATCTTTTATTAATGATTTCGGCAATTTCGTTCTCACTAAGTTTTAAACATTTAACATGTGAATGTTTTTTGCGTGTTCCACACTTAGTTGAGGGTGTTGTGGGTGTAACAGGACCCTCACAGTTCATACAGATGACAGTCATTATCAAAAAGAATAAAATAAACGGGATAAACAAGGATACAGTTCTTCGCACCTACGCGGTCCGTCGTGGTGACTAACAATAAGATATACAAACTGGACCACGGAAAGAAAAAATTAGAGGAAACACAGGAAACAATTTGTAAGCCACACTCTTATGGATGTGTGTACAAAAATAATTGAAATAGCAGCGATAATTTTTATCGTGTAGGTGGACTTACACAAAAAAGAAGAAGTCATCAAATATTCCCACAATCTCAAAACTCACTCAGTTTAACCGCATCAATCTTAGTTCATGAGATACACAATTCTAGTCATCAATCACCTTCCAAAATTCTCAGAAAATTTCCCACTTTTTACTACTTAAAACCGTGAAAAACAAGAGCACAAACCACGAAGGTTTTTCTTGGTCGTTTTTTCACAACAATTCTAACAATGTGAATCCAGCTTGTGAAATATTCTACATGAAACTTTCGGAGGTGTCTAGTTCAAATGTTCCAAAAAGTATAGCACATAAATATCAGTATACTGTCACCCTTGGTTCACTCTTGATCTCATAAAGGAAATAAATCAAACAAGTAAATTTTGGAGGAAGTACAAGAAATACGGGATTACAGAACACTATGAAACTTTTAAAGAAATTGCGTAGGGATATCAAAGTGAAACTAGCGGCGCTATGTAAAGATTACTTATCCAAAATTGAGGGCGAAATTTCTAATGATCCGAAAAAGTTTGGCAATTTGTTAAATATAAAGAAACGGTACCGATATTTCTTTTAATATTAGTTTCGGTAATGTAAACTACTCAAGACCAAAGGAGAGAGTAGATGCTTTTTGGGAAATGTTTAAGTCAGTGTTCACTCTGGTAACATATAACTTAGGGAACTATTATTCCAAAGAATCTAAGTCTTTGTGTCAATATGTGTCTTTAAAGTCTATTTATGAACAAGAGGTAATTGATGCAATATATCAGTGAAAGTCTAAGTATACAGCTGGTCCTGATAAGATTCCAACAATAGTGAGCAGAGATTGTGCACTGACTTTAGCCGAGCCTTTAACAGCGTTATTCAACTTATGTTTGAGAGAAACTACATTTCCTGATGAGTGGAAAAAACCGTTTTTAAGAGTATTGATAAGCTGATAAGTCTTGTATTGGAATTTATTATTTACAAACAGTTTTTTTCATAATTACAATGTTATCTTACTGAAGTGCAACATGGCTTTTTTCCTGGTACATCGACAGTGACAAACTTGTGCGCAATCACTCAATATATTTCGAAATGAATAGACCTAAATTGTCAAACTGACGTTATTTACATTGAAATGTCCAAAGCTTCTGATAAGTTAGATAACGACATTATTTTGCCAAAATTTAGTAATATTGGCTGTTCCCCAAGTGTGGTTGAATTTTTCTCCTCTTACTTGTGTAGAAGAAAGCAGTTTGCATTTGTTCATGGTCATTTTTCTCAAGAATTTATAGCTCCTTCGGGGGTACCACAAGATTCTGTTCTTGGACCATTGTTGTTCAATGTTTTCATAAATGATATAATGGTTGCACTGAATGTACCCTGCTTATTATATGTAGATGATATCAAAATAATATACCATCATTTCCAGTATTGTGAGAATCTACAAAAAAATCTTAATGTTGTTGATTAATTAAAATTAATAAAAAAATGTCAATGGTGATGTATTATGGCCTCAAATATTGGTAAGTTTCGTACGGATGTCTTAAAATATTCCCCAGCGCCGGTCTGGTCCGCCTGGCTACCCGTCGACCGTTGGGGGCCCCGAGCTATTAGGGATCTTAAGGCATCACTATAAAAACTAACTTTATTATTTAAAAAAACATACATTGTGAATATAGGAATATTTGTTGTAGATACGTGTTCTTAAATCTACCTTTCTTGGCAATAATGTTAACACTATCAGTGGTTATGTATAAAATAGGATGTTCCAAGGCAATTGATAACACTGAGTTTGAACTACTGAGCAATTCATATTTGACAAAACGAACTCAAAAATATTGAGATGAAAACTCGGAACGCTGTGATTTAGCTGTTGTATTTTAGGGTGTGTGGTTGGATTGAAAGTTCATAACATTAAGTCTCCAACAAAATAATGTGAGTAATCTATCTATGTCAATTACTTCGGATGCTTTTTAATATGTTATCGATCGTAAAGTATGTTAGCATTTGTCTCAAGAATAAAAAAATATAAAATTACATAACTGAATATATTATTTGGAGCCACACAATTTCTACAGCAATTTAGATCATTGGTAGTGTCGGCTAGTTATTACAGTACTGAATTTTTGATGACCTCTTGCGTTCAGTTTCAGTATCCTAATTCAACCACTATGAATTTTCCCTCCGCTTTGTATAAACACCAACTGCAAATGTATTTTTTAAATCGATTCGCAGTTTATTTATATTCGTAATTATTGTGTTTACTATAGTAGTTCATCTATTAAGAATTTTTCTTCAATCAAAGTTTAAATTTAATAATATATCAATATGGTAATCAACTGAGATCAAATAAAATGAGTAATGTGTGTCACTGTGTCAAATATTTCGTATTCAGTATGTGCGTGACGAGCGTAAGTTGTAATCAAATACATAGCACGACAAAATGGGAGTTTTAAGTTCGATATTGTGAACTGAACCAATAGAAACTTTTCGCCAGTGACCAATCACCTGTTAGTAGTAAAATATGAGAACTCAGGAACCAGTCACGTTTCAAAAGTTGACAAATTACTTCACAGCGTCAAGGTTATATATTCGAAAACATTACTGGAATAAGTCAGTCACTCTAGGACCCTGTAGTGATCAGATCAAACTATAAAGAAATTTATGGTCAGTGTAAATTAGGTGGTTTAATAAACACTTGAGTAATCCAAAAAATCAAAGATGTAGCAAGTGAAGGACGTTTTCCTGTGAATAATCCGAAGGGAACATTAAGATGTCAACCTTTCGTTCGAGGGATAAATCTGATAATAAGATAAATATTTGTCGTATAAGCCGAAAAGTATTTCAGTGGAGCTTGCTCTGGCCAGACGAGGAAAGTGAACTAAATCCTGGAATCAAATATAAAATTAAAATATTTGCATACTGTGCAATAACTGGATTTCTAAACAGCTTGATTGGTGTTACACTATTTTTTGTAATTAAAGGCAAGTAATTTAAGTTTACCATCTAAGCGTGTGTAAAGACAGTTCTAAAATGGATCTAATTTTTGTAACTATTATCGACGTCAAAATTATTTTCAATTACAAGAATTAATTAATTAATCAATGTTTTGTAGATTACGAATACCTAGATGTTGAAGATATTTCTATTGCTGTGAGTTCGTACGGAACATACTACATGGTATTCTCATTTCTAAGGCAACAGCATCAAATAGCCTTAATTTTACGAAACTTATCAACTTTCCACAAGTTTGGAAAACCTCCTGATTTCGATGATCTTAACAGGAGGTTAAACATTATCGCAAAAATACTAACCGCTTTTGAATTTGGAATAGTAGCTGCATTTAAAATTGCGAGAATTGCAAAAAAATCGGAGTGCAAGGAGACTTTAGCGAAACTGGGACTAAAACGACACTACTGCGGTCTGGGAAGCCCTGCGTGGACTCCATTCGATGTTGATTTCTTTCCCGTTTTCGAGATATTTCTTCTATATGAGTTTATTTTTGCACTTGTACATAGTAAGAATTGTTCTCAAATTTCTTTTCATCTTCTAGAAATAACTTATCACGTTACCTTAAGAATAGAACATTTGAAAGCACTAATTGTACGGTGTTTTAATAGCAATAGTCAAACTGTGTTTCGTAAACAACTGTCACATTGCATCGCTTATCACAACGAAATATTAAAGTATGTATCAACTATAACAAATTTAAGAGTTTTTTAAATGATATTTTAAGTCTGACTCTCGACATCGATGCTACATTTTCTACAATTATGTTTGGACATTTTGCGTTAACAGGTGCAGTTTGTGCTTGTTTGGAGAAGCAAATTATAGATGTATTTAAATGAATACAAGCTAAAATACGTACTTATTTTTTAATAAACTCTGTTTTTAGGGACATAATGCTTTTACAGGTTTTTGTCATTTTGTTGGGTGGATTACCGCTCTGTTTATTGTGTGTCTAGGTGGACAACGTGTCATTAATGCTGTAAGTCTACTACAGAATATCCTTTTAGCAAAGTTGTAAATGAAAATTTTCAATATTTGTGAAATATTTGTAAAATTATTTCTAGTGATGGCTTACACTTTTTCTCTTGTTTTTTTTTATTGATCTTTTTGTATTCTTTTCGGGATTTTCTTCTTAGTTTATTTTGAATTTGACATTTTGTTTAAATACAATTCGTAAAACCTGTTGAAAATTATGTTTTAGAGCGAATCCGTAGCTGATGCCCTATGGACTTCAAAATGGTATAAAGCTGATTTCAAGCTCCAAAAAAGTGTTCTAATTATGCTCGTAAGAGCTCAAAGAAATAGCAACATAAAAGCTGGTCCTTTTGGAATTCTTTGTTATCCATTTTTTGTTTCGGTAAATCAGAAATATTCTTAGATGATAATAATTTTTCTTAGTGAATTATGACATTGCATATTTATAGTGACATATTTTAGGTACTTAAAACGTCGTATTCTATTTTGTGTTTGCTCACTTCGTAAATATTGCCACAGGAATGCGTAGAAATAAGGCAAAATTTAAATGACTGCAGTTACTAGTTTGGTATTATGAACGTAGACGAACAAGCAGATTTTGGGGAATTCTGTCTTTAACTCGACAAAATGTTTTCCAATTTTCAATGTAAAGAAAATGTTTAATAAACAAAAGGAAAAGGAATATTATGTACTTGTTATTTAATAATAAACAAAATAGTTATTTGTCCAACAAAATTTGGAAACGTTGCTTTCGGCGGTCTTCAGCGACATCACAACAGTTAAACAATATAAGCACCGTCTTCCGCAGAAGGTTACATTTTTCCGTCGAAGAAAGTATAGAAAATTAAAGCAAACCTGAACAACACCATGTCGAGCAGCCTGCACTACAAGTTATTAAAATAAAAAGCACTTAAGGATAAGTTACTTCGGAAGTTTCAGCCGCCGGGTTGAATAGAGCTACAATAATTATAAATTATATTATAATAAACGGGCAGGATTATTGTCATGCACGTATTCACGTTAATAAAATAGTCAACGCTTTTTGTTTTAAATTTAATTTATATTACAGTGTAAAAAGAAGGAAATCAAAATTAAATATTTAAAATATTGACTATTTTCTTAATGATTTATAAATTATTAATTTGCCAAAAATGTTTGTTTCTTAACGAATCATGTGTCATTGAGATACTCTGCAATCACTAAATCAGTTTTTTAGTGAAACTTTTTCAAATGCATATGGCAGTTTCTTTGATAAATCGTATGTTTTGATTCCATGAAATTTATCATTTTAGAATTTTTTTTGTATCTTAAAATAAAAAAAAACCCTGTATTTTTAAACTATAGCCAGAGCAGTACTCTTCGGTATAAGTGTAGTAAAACTTTATCAATCAAAATATTAATACTTCTAATTTCTTAACAGAGAAATATACAGGTTTGGACTTGTAGTGTAATTTTAAAAACAGCAATATTATGTCCCTGTATATTCAAAGAAGTGTAAAAAGCTAATTTCGATTTGATCAATAGAGAATTTTTTTTATTCAGGAAAACTGTTTTTTTACATTCCAACCGTAAACGAAGGAAGTATTGTAATCGAGTCCGGCCGAATCTCTACTTTTACGTTTTGTCGCCTTTCATGACTCCTAGATTACAACATCGAAAATCAAAATAAAATGTACTTGGGGTTTAATTCAATAAGCGGAAATCACAACATTAAAAAAAGTCTGGATCGTCGGCATTGTCATCCGGTTATTGCAATTCGTAGAAAACATCTTTTAGTTTAGTTTCTTCATTTCACTCTCATGTCTACAGCTTGACAGACATCAATAACGAGAGGGGGTGGCGTGCCTCGGTGCCAAGCTTTGGACTGACTAGTGCCTCTGGCCGACCAAGGCTTATACCGGGGGTGGCGCCTTCGGTTAGGAGCGGTGGTCGCTTGGGCGCCAGCTCCCTCTCCGGGGTAGGGAGCACCGGGGTTGCTCTCAAGCCGGAGACACGGATCTCCAGGTAGTGAGCGCCCAAACGATGAATCGATGTCGATGGTTTTTCTTCTGTTTGAAAACCGGTTCAGTCGGGAGTTTCTTACGAAGGTGGTTTGATGAATAACTCAGTTCGCATCATCTTGGAGGATGAAAAAAGAAAAAACAGTAACTGCGTGCATAAACTGTCGGTGATTTAGAAATTAAGAAAAACTAGTGTGTTGAGTGAATTTGATTTAAAAAAGGACAAAATTGCAATTCGTAGTGTGATTCAGTTCTTTTTTTTTGGAAGGAAAACTGCAAAAAAATCCATGAAAAAATGTTTCCTACATTGGGCGATTCTTTTTATGAAGGTACTCGCCTTTCAGTTAATGAACTGGAGCGCAGGAAAACAACCGCTGAAGATACACCACGTTCTGGAGGACCAAAGACTGTCGCCATAGCAGAAATCATTGAAAAAGTTCATAGTATGATTTTGGCCGCTAGATGAATGACAGTGCGTGAGTAAGCCAAAGCTAGAGGCATCTCAACTAAGAAAGTTCATTTCATTAATCTCCTACGCAATGGTGGAGGAATCAGCATTCTTAATCAATTTTAGACTTTTTGAGGGTTAATTAATTTTGTAGGGGGTTTTTAAGTATTACACTTGTTATTCAAAACCCTTTCGCTTCTCGCTTATTTGTTTAAACGAAGTTTATCTTTTTACCAATTATTATGACTAGAGTTCCTTTTGGAACACAATCTAGCAAAAATTTTGAGCATTGTAGGAAAAGTCTAGGGGACGCTCCACGGCGTTAGTTCCACCTAAGTAAATTCGCGGACAAAAATAACAAAATAATGACGAAATTTCAGAGAGAAGTATGAGTTAATTGAACATTTGATATTAAGAACTAAAGAACTAAATCAAATGATTCACGAAACTTTTAGCAATACAGAATACGAAATTTCACGACGTAGATTAACTAACTGCATTTTTTACCACTCAGATATAATCAGGTATTATGTTTAATTAATAATATTCTTCAATAAAGTTATTTTTTTAGGAAAGCGAAAATACTCGATGAATGCTTTTCGAACGCCATGTTTACACACACTTGCCTAACTGCAATAAATTGTGCCTTCATCGAAAAACAATATTACCGTATCTAAGGATATAATAAAATGTGGTAGCACTATATTTTTGTTCTAGGGCGATCGTGTCTGTGCTGTATTACATTTTTCGGGTTGGATTCTCGTTTTAACATTTGCTTGCTTCTCTGGACAGATTCTTATCAACGTTGTAAGTTACAAATGACGAAGATTATTTTGTGTTAGAGTTAATGATTCTAGAGTGAATCAATCGCCGGATGTATTTGGTTTGCAACGTGGTATGAGGCCGATATTAGACTACAAAAAGACGTTTTGTTTATGTTAGCAAGAAGCCAAAGAATTTTCTGACTGACGGCTGGACCATTCAGTTCCCTTTCATTTCCAATGCTTGTTTCGGTAAACTTAGAGAAGGAATTTTTCGAAAGAATTATTAAATGTTTTTTAGGCGGTTAAACTATCTTACTCTCTGCTTTGCTTACTAAATTCATGAAATGTAAAATTTGATGATGTGTTTACAAAATGTCATGCAAGTGAAAGAAACCGTTTAAGACTCGAATAAAGTAATTTAGTATACCTATATGTGTTTTTTTTTTGTTTAGCGTTACGATGTCAATAAAACTGACCAAATGTCAAATGTATAATAAATGATTTTCTAATAAAAATGTAGATGAAGAGCAAATAAAATCACACGGCCGAGCAACATTAATCATTGCAGCAGTTCTCCTTCTTTGTCTTTTAACGCGTTCAAGCACACTTCGGGAACAAAACTCTAACCTTCCGCAGGGTCCAAAGTGCCATTCAAGGTATTTAAAAGGACGATTCTGGTTGGGACGATAGGGTCCAGTAATCTTATTCGAGCGACTCGAACCCTAAAAGGTACCATTGGGTTGGTACCGGCCCGGAGATATATTCAAGGGCTCTAAGTGACTGGATCCGGTACCTAGTCGACCCAGACGACGCGTCTACGGTGTCCATATGGAGGAATCATTCCTGACCAGATGCTTTCCCTTACCAGTGATCTGTCAATACCGGTGTGAAGACAGCAACGATTTTAGTTCGATTCGTAATTTCATGCAGGCGGCACACACATAGAAATATATTTCAAAAATATCGTTACTACTGGTTGTGACACTATGAAATTATGTGTGTCAGCTGTCTAGCCTTTAGTATAAAATATAGTTCCTTAATATAGTTATATACGGGCTTATATCATTGACGGTACGTCTGTAATTCGCTTATCAGTGTTTGTGCCACGATGAAATTCACTGTGGAAGATTTAAATTAAAGATGAATTAAAAACAAAAAGTACAACAAAAAACCACAAAATATTTATTTAGAAAATTTCAATAAAAAATATAATATCGCAGTTAATAAACGAACAATGTTAAAATTAATAACAGTTTAAGCAATTAACTACGAAACAATTATTTACAAACGACTCAAAGTTTTTAAGAATTATATGCTTAATTTCTCGATTTTTTGTTTTCTTTAGAGGAAATCCATTCTTTGCTGGTAATTATAAAACAATTCAAAGTATGTACATCAAAAAAATCGTTTCGGCAGAGGTAAATTGCTTTTTAAATTATGCTATAGCGTAACGGTACCAGGAGATTTAGACCATGTGATGTATATGTTCATTAATGGAAAGGTTTTGTTTACTAACCTCAAATGTGAAATCAGATGACAATTCCTTAACAAACTCGAAGTGTGTGTGACAGATGGAACTATCATCTGCATTAGTTTCGGTGGGAACTAAAACAAAATCCAGTTATTTCTTAATCAGACTTAAATGAATTCAGGTATATTTCGTTTAGAAGACGTTGACATTTACTGCTCCATATCTGGACTTATATCTTCTAAAAAAATTGGTGAATTACTTCAAGCTGTTTAGAAATTTTGTTCTACTTACTTTTTAGAGAAGTTTGGCCTCTTTCGCTGTCGTCATGCACTTGTTCTTGACTATTGGAACAGTTAACAAAGCTTCGACAACAAATTGTATATAACTTCTTCCTGTTTAGTAAATTGTCTTTAATTTTTAGCGTTATGCATATTCGGGAGTAAATGTATTATTTCCTCGATATGAAACACCCATAAGTTGTTCTTTTTGAACAACACCATCCTTCAACAGTTTTTCATGATATGATATAAGCAAAACTACATCGACGCAATTACTATCTGTAAATAAATAAAAAAAATTATGTAAGGTAATTTAACAAATATTAAAACTCAAGACAAAAATGCGACTTACGATCTGCCCTATATGGTATGTCGGTACACACTCTCATCTCCCAAAATTTAAAAATTTTTTCAAACCATAATTCGTTATAAATTCTAAAGATCTCCCACACTGAATTTCATCGTGGCACAAACACTGATGTGCGTATTACAGATGTGCCGTCATATCAGCTCGTATAATATCCCTCATATTTGACTTTTATTGGAACTATATTTTATACTGAAGACTAGACAGCTGCCACACATAATTTCATAGTGTCACAACCACTAGTAACAATATTTTTGAAATATATTTCTGTGTGTGCCGCCTGCATGAAATTACAGTTCGACCTAAAATCGTTGCTGTTTTCACACCGGTACATTAAATTAGCCAATGTTTAAGGTTTTGGAGTTTCCATATCTTCAAGGTCTTTCTCTTGATAACACCAACTTATCAGATATCCTAACCCCACCTGTTGAATATAGTAGATATATAAGGAACACCGTTAAAAATATTGCTGATTATTGCAATACGGATGACTTAAAAGTTTACAGTAATACAGTAATACTTTAATTGTGAACATATTTTATAAAAGTTCCTTGTGATTATAAGTTTAAAAAATAAGTGAACTCCCTGACGGGTAAGTTGAAAATTACAGACATAATTTACCATGTACGCGTATTTTTTATTGTACATAATAATCATTAACGAATTTATTATAACCTGCATTGCTTTTATCAATACGTATAATACTTTAGGCCTAAAACTTGCATTTCTACCTCTGGTAAATCTCCAAATTTAATCTAATCTAACAGTACTTCTTATAAATAAAGAGCGAATTTTAGACTAAAAAAAGCCAAAATAGGCGAGCAACAGCTGTGAATTTAGACAACAAAAGGCTAAATATGCTCTTTAGGCAAGTTTTAGGAAAAACTATAGTGTGATACTCGTGAGAATTGGTCAATGACCAATCTTCTCACTCGTGGAACAATATACAATTACGCAACGTCTGGTTCTCTTTCAAATCTATACAGGGTTAGTATGAAATCCCGAAACGATAGAATAACTTTGTTATTTGAAAAGCATTTTTTTGGAAATTTGGTGTGGATGTATAATTAAACATGACGACTTGATTACAATATTTTTCCTTTTTTTTATCGCTTTCGGTTTGACACACAAGGCCCCCTAATTTTATTTGTTTTAATGGAACCCCTAGAAATTCAGATTTTGGAACAAAATAGGCAGAAAAAAGTCAAAAATAAATGGGTTGAAAAAATGTAAAAACGACACTCGTGATCGAAGAAAGACAAACAGGCAAAAACAATTAGGGCTCAAATAAAAGAATTTTCTCAGATATACATTTATATACAACTGTTATGCGTTTTGTAGAACCAGTTTTTTTTTTGTTAATTTTAACTATATGGGAATGTACTGTATAAAAAGTGCTTTTTAAAATTATATTAAATGATTAGCAGTAATTGCTGGAATATTTTAAATTTTAAATTCGAATTTAATAATAGATAGATATATAATACATTTTTTTTTAAAGATAACACTATAGTTCTCAGCTTACGAATTTTAACTGTTATAGTAGCAGAGTTTCCAGCCTTTAATTTTATTGTCGAAAACTGACACATACACTAGTATCAGTGTTTTGACAGGGAAGGGTCTGGTTTTACTTGGAAGTTATAATTTTGATTTTTTTTTCAGCAAAGACATTCAACGTCATCATGGACTTGAGTTCCGAAGAAGAAGAAATTATGAAATTGGAAAAAGAATCAATAAAATTAGAAGAAAATTTAAAACGGAAAAAGGAAGATAGAAGACTAAGAAAACATTTAGAAAAGTTGAAGGCTTTATATACTTCTCACTCTGAAGAGAATGCATGTTCCTCAAAAAAGGTATTGTTAACTTTGGGCCAGCAAAGAACCAATGTTTATTTAGATTTGTTAAAACTTAAAAAAAATTGGTCGAAACTTATTTCGACAGGATTTTCCTTGCCCTCCGATAAACTCGATTACAATACTTTCTTTGCTTACTCTCAGAAAGTAAAAATAAAATTTGTAAAATTAATTTTTTAATTTTTAAAACATTTTGTATTTTATAGCACGTGTATTTACACCGAAAATCTAACTCTAGACCACACTTTTGTTCAACATTCGGCGATGTAACACATGTTTTTTTATATATTTGGACGAATTGTTTATGTTTGGGCGTAACGACGACGGTCACTCCGCCGATAACCAACTAATGTAGTACACCTTATTGTTGTAAAATTTCTCGGAAAGAAAGAACAAGAATTTTATTTATGTTATGTATAAACCAGAAGTATGGAATAATATGTAATAATAATAAAACACCGTATACGGACGAAATTGAAAACAGCAATGGCAGGTACACCACTGTATAAAAAGCACCCCTCAAATTTGAAAGTGGACCCGCTCGAACCAGAACTGGTCGTCTGCGCAACATAATTGGTGTGCTGTTTTCAAATGATTCCAACTCAAGTAGCTATAACACCTTAAATTAAGATAATCTTAAAATAATATGAATATGTATTCGTGTTTGGTTCAAAATCATCTATCAAATTGCGACGTTATCTGCAGCAGACATAATCGCTACTTAAGTATTTTATTTGTGCCTTAATTTCCAAGTTTCGTAATTTATTTATATCATTTTATACCGCTTTGGCCAAAATACGCGCATACAAAGTCAAAGTAGACCACAGCGATCCTAAATAATTCTAATTAAAAAAGCAGAGCAAAAATCTTTTGTTCTAGGGTGTAGTACGAGTATATGTTCAAATTTTTGGTCAAAAACTCGTTACATTTTTGTAAAAACTTTTAGCGTAATCGCAATCGCTCTCTTTGAAAGACTCAAACTGAATTTTTATTTTTGGATTTGCTAACAAAGATAGCAGGTTTTTCTGTTTTCCACTGAATATTTTATTGAAATTTGTGTTTTGTTGGAAACAAAATAACTACAAACTTTCTCTAGAAAAGATTTATGGGAATTTTCCTCTCCAGATTAAGTTTACATATCCATCTTGTGGAGATTAGAAAGCAAATTAATGTTGTAAGGCCGGATCAAGATAACATAAAATTGATGTGTTTATTTGTACTTTTAATGAAAATTTGTCATAAAATAGCGGTACTATCTTAAGCAAATGTAATTCTTGTTTATTGGTTCTTATCCGGGTCTTATTTACCAAGAAAAATTAATCCGTTTCGGAATTTATTTGCGTCAAACTACTTAATATTTTATTTTTCGTACTCTAGGGGTCATATCTAAAATGTACAAACTATGATGTTTCTTTCAATTCATTCAAAAGAGAATGTCGTAAAATTCTATTGTGTAATTAATTTTTGTAATATTGTACTTTGTAACTGCTATTTTTGTATTGCCCTTTTTTTTGGCGTAATAAATATTAAATACTAAATACTAAATACTAAATGATGAGTCTGTACTTGTGATTTATCATTCCATTCATATTTTTTACATTTGCTTAAAGAGGTGGCTCAAATAGTTAATGAATAAGTCAATTTGTTTTATTCATTAATTCAGGAATTTCATTTTCCCGAAAATGTGGAGATACAACACTGTTATTATTAGTATTACATTGCAACAACCTAATTTGATACACACAAAATTTTGTAAAGTAAACACTCGTTTAAAATATAAGCGTAATGTAATTGTCACCATCAAAAACGAAAATAATATTCCGATGTTTTATATGTTGCTTTATTATTAAACAATTAAAGAAAACAACTGAAATAAAAATAATAAAAATGTACTACTATGCTACCGTTTAGTCTCATCTCCAATACGGTATTATTTCTTGGGGAATGTGTTCAGACATAGAACGAGTCCCCACTCCTCAGACTGCAAAAAAGGACGGTACGAATAATGATGAGTATGAGGATTGGATACAGGGATAGTTGCAGGACGTACTTCACGTCCGCAAAAACATTAACTGTTATTAGTTTATACATTTACACAGTAGTGACTCATGTGAAGACAAATTATAATAGTTTTAGAATGATTAATGATTATCATAATTATAATACACGGAATTTATACATACTAGAAATCCCAAAACATAATTTAACATTATATAAAAATACTTCTAAGTATATGGCAATATTTATTTATTTATTTATTTATTTATTTCAATACAGTGCCCAACGGGCTTAAGGCCCAATAACAGGACAAGGTAATCATACATACATAAAAATACAATACTTATTACAAAACAAAAATAAACTAATAATAACATGTGCAGATAGATGACTTACGGATGTTCAGGTCGAAATTGTTTTTTTATATCATTTGAGGTTGAATTAAAAATGTCGATATTATCTTGGATACAGGTGTAGTTGGCGAGCATGAAGATGAGAGGTGAATTGGACATAATGTTGGTCCTAGAAGTCTTGATGTAGAAAGTGTCGTTACTTCTAGTGTCGCGTACAGGAATCTTGAAATCCAACTGATTTAGTATACAAACACATTCATGTCGCCCGTGTATGAGATTAAAAAGAAATAGGATGGAGTGTTCAATTCTTCTTGTAACTAGAGAATTCAAACTAAATTTTCTCAGTAGCAATTCTTGCGGATAGCCTTGTGGGGGGTAAACACCTTCCGATAAATACGAAGCTGTTTTAAGAAACCTGCGCTGGACCCTCTCTAATTCTGATATGTAAATGTTATACAAAGGTGACCACACCAGCGATGCATACTCAAGATGTGATCTGACATATGCAGTATACAATAATTTCAAAGTATCGACATCATTAAAAAGGCGACCATTTCGTAGTATGAACCCTAAAGATTTAAAAGCAGAGCTAACAATCGAATCGATATGATATTTAAAACTGAGTTTTGGATCATAGATAACTCCAAGATCACGCATAACATTGGGTCTCGCAAGCTGAATGCCGTTAATTTCATAAAAATAAGTGAACGGCGTTAGTTTATGTGTGAATGACATTACTAGACATTTTCCGGTATTTAAAATAAGATAGTTATTTAGGCACCATTGGTATATTTTATTTAAGTTTTGCTGTAGACGTTCACAGTCATCATATGATTTTATAACAGAATATAGTTTTTGATCGTCAGCAAACATTAGGGAGGGTACATCAATAACATCTACTATGTCATTGATGAAGATATTGAAAAACAATGGCCCAAGAACAGAGCCTTGGGGTACGCCACTGACTTGTTTAAATGCTTTCGATTTAAATCCTTTTACATTGACATAAAGTAACCTGTCATTTAAGTATGATTCCACTAATTTTATCAGACCATTCGAAAAACCAAAGTTGTTATTTAATTTCCACAGTAAAAGACGATGACTGATCTTGTCGAACGCTTTAGAAAAGTCTGTGTAAATGACGTCGACTTGTTGTTGGTTATCTAAGGCCTCGGATATAAACTGTGTCAAAGTTACGAGATTCGTTTCAGTTGGACGTTTTCTTACAAATCCATGTTGAGTTGACGATAGAACAGTAGCGACATTATCGTAAATATTTGCATATAAAAGATGTTCAAAAATTTTGGAAAAGTTATTAATTATAGAGATCGGTCTATAGTTTTCTAAATCTGATTTATCACCTTTTTTAAAGACTGGACATATACGTGAGAGTTTCCATTTTTGAGGAAATGTAGATGTTTTTAAAATTAGATTAAATAAGATTCTTAATGGAATTACAAATATGTGCGCACAGTCCCTTATGGTAAAGGCGGGTATTAAGTCAGGGCCAGACGTTGTAGCAGCTTTTAATTTTTTGATTGCAGACAGTACTTGTTTCTCCGTTACCATACTAATGTGGATTAGGTTTGCATGGTAGTTAGAAGGCTGTGGATTTGCGTTTATTGACGATTTGGTGAAAGATTTAGAGAAATGGTGCGCAAAATTATCAAAAAAAATATGTTTATATAATAAACTACCACAGTACATGAAAAAACTAGATGTAAAACAGTTTAAATTAAAAGTTAAAGATTTATTAATAGAGAAGGCCACGGTGTATAATAACTTATTATACACCGTGGATAAGGCATATTACACAATTAATGAATACCTAGTAGATAATATATTGTAATAACCCAAACCTCCCGCCTTTTATTTGACATTGAACAAAATTCGAAAGAGCCCGCTAAAATTTGAAATTTGGCCTTGGCTGTGATCGTCTACAAAAGTGGGACCCTACATTGTGTTTTGAAAACTGGCGGGAGGCGTTCGTTCATACGAATTGGCGCACTGCGGAGCGGGAAGAGTAACGGATTAAAAAAAAACTTATATTTGGAAAAAAAAACTATGAGAAATAAATCCAATAAGAGCTCAAGAGACCTTGGCCAAGGGCCCCAGAAGAAGAAATTTAAATTAGATTAAATGATGCACACATGTGATCAACAATCTTATACAACAAGGAAAATGAAATGAGAAATTATTCATGTTTTTATCAATAACTTTAAACAACAAGACGTTTGGAAGAGATTATAGGTATGATTCACATTTTGACAATGATTTTATTGAATTAAGCTACATTTACGTTGCTGATTTCATCAAAGAATTTATCTGATAATAACAAAGACGCTATGGATTTTATTAAAATATTTATCTGATGTTAAACAAAGAAGTTATGACTGCATTAAAAAGGTTTGGAAAAAGTTACGTCGATGACCGAATTAAAACAAAAACAAACAAACATCCCCCCCAAACAAAATACACACATAAAAACAGATACGAAACAAACAAAACAACAGATAAATGCGACATAAAAATTATGCAAAATAAATAAAATATAGGCAACCATGGGTGCACATTCGCTTTGAATTGTGCCTTTCTTTCAATGACATTCATTTTCAAATTGATCGACAAAGCTTTCGGTCAACAACAAATCCCCGATGACTAATGCAAAAACTCACAAAAGTCGCCCTTGAAATTCCCCGATCAACACCCCGTACTTGCACCTTACCACTTTCTCTTTCTATTTTTTTAGCGGTTGAATATTTGAAAAACTACATGAAATTTTCCAAAATTAGAGTTTACAACAAACGGATAATAAATCGAGGAAAAGCCATTCAAATACCTTGGATATTATAATGTCGGTCAAATTAATGCGCCTAATTAATCGATGTTACTAACACAAAGAAAATCCCCCGTCCCCCAGACTATGATATTATTAATTTTTCTGATGCCGTTTTCAGCGTTATTTTGTTAAACATTCGCTTGTTCACATTACGTGTGAATTTACTTTACTCACACGTGCTGAATTATGCAACGCAAAATAAATAACTCGAAAATTGCCATCGAACTTTCCGCATAACATTCGCTAAATAAAACTGCCCTAGCTAACCTAATTCCCTGAAAAGCCCTACTAAAACGGATTAACATTATGTTGAAAAGGTTAGTATGAAAATTAACGGCCACGGCGTCATCCGGAAGCGCCGCCATTTTGTAGCGTTCGTTCGCATATGTGACACACACGCGAAGCGGGGGAGGGAACTCCGTTGGAAGGAATCACAGCTGAAAACGGAAACAAAACGCACAGACACTTGGAAAACGCAAAGAGCACCAACTTGACGTCTTACTCGAAAGAAAGACGAAGTCAATATGCCACGACCAAAGACTTCAAATATATATAGATCGGCGATAGAACGAAAAAGTTGAAGCTAACCGGTCGCCATTTTGGATGTGACCGAAACCGCGGGAAGTTTAAAATCGTATACAATAATCCACTTCATATGAATAGTGAGTTTGCACACCATACACACACAAACTAATAAACTTCAACAGTACTATAATTGCTGAATCTTAAATGCACGGAAACACTATCAAAAGAACCAAAGAAACTGTGATCACATCCACGTCACAACTGAAAGTGATACATAAGAAAGAAATAGGTTATGGGTATGGGTTGTTGCGGTGTAATTAGTGACAGAAAAGTAACAGCAATGGCGGCGATTTCTGTTGACAGAACTGCTTCACGAAATACAATAGAATTTTGGGTGACAGCCAGTCTATATATATTTGAAGTCTTTGGCCGCGACTCACTCTTCTCAAACACGACCCTTCTGCGCACCTCCCTCTTAGTGGTTTTCGTTTCTTCCATTCATACACCTTTTATTACCAAAAGTTCGGCGCGCGGAAATTTGGTTCGAAACGGCTTACTACAATATAATTGACATGTTTACCCATACCTAGCTCCGTATGTGTCCGTATACTATGTTTGTACATGTCATTGTTGTATTAATTTGTATTGTATGTATGTATTTGACTTATTCTACAGAATTGTATATCATTGTCCATAAGAATTAATAGAGGTTAATATTATTAAGACCCACCACTGACCCGGAAATGACCGGCATTCAGGCAAGACTTCTATCATTACGGGTACTAAGACCAAGTAATGATATGCATTGATTAGATTAACAGAACAACTTTCGAGATTCTAGAATTACAGCATACAAATTAGTCTGCTATTATTCTCTAATCTCACCCCATCCCCAAAAGTCCAGCGTAACTACCGACCATTTATCCGCGCATCACATGAAAAGTGACCTACACTACTCTGACCTACTGGTGCTAATCTAATCTGACTGACATGATCAGACTGTTCAAGAAACTTACGAACAATATGACATGTTCCTAACAAAACAGCTTTTTGAATTTTGACAATTATTGAATCATTCAAATGCAAAGACTTTAAATTCTCAACTAAGCTATTTGGAACTACACCTACATTAGAGATAACTAGGGGTAGAATTGAAATTTTTTTAAGATTCAACATTGATTTCATTTCTATCGATAATTGTAGATATTTTGAAATCTTGGTGTTGTATGTTTGAATAATGTTGTTTGTGTTAGGAATAGCAATTATTATTAATAATATTATTAATAATATTATTAATAATATTTTTATAATAAACGGAAGTCGAAGCAATAAAAAAGTCTGGACGACCATCGGCATTGTTTGCAGTTTCTCTGTTTCACTCTCACGTATTATTATAGCAACAAGTGTTACTACTTGTTGTCTTAAGTTAAGAATGCTTATTCATAAATGATTTTCTGTCGCGTCTGCTAATACACGCGGCATACGTGAGTAACTGTTTCGTTATTTTATCGATTTGTAAATCGATAGATAATAATTTGAGAATACAGTAGTTTTATTTTTAGTATGACAATATACTACATCTACCCATCTTTCCATTTTTCAAAACAACTAGTTTTAAGAAGGTTTGGAACCTTCTTTTTTTCTGTTACACTGTGATTAGTACCTTCTATATTGTTTTTACTCTATAGTGATTACCACCTAAAAATAACATTCCACAAATATTAGACTACTGCTGTCTTTATAGACCCAAAGCACTCTCTCATTAACAATTTAGGCTATGTTAATTTACATTGTCTTCGCAAAAAATCGTCTAATATGTATATTAATAAATAAATAAATAAATAAATAAATAAATAAATGTCATTAATTAAATATTTTGTTAGCCGCCAGGTGGAATACAAACAGAAGATACTTCAAACAAACGAGCATTTGCATTTCGGAATAATCAGCAAATTAAAGAAAGTACCAAAGAAAATACACGTCAAAAAGAGCGGATTCGTAAAGAAAAGGATGGAAAAGTAAATGCAGACTTTTCGAAAGAGGTGAGTTTGTTTACCAAAATATATATTTACTTTGGTTTTTAAATTTGTGCGACATATATATTACAGCTTGAACATACCAACTATGTAATGAAGCAAAATGAGATAAACAATGCATTTGGACGTTTTGATGAATCGATAATAGGTATTTGAATTTAGTCGATATCAATAGTAATGTTTGAAGCAAATTTTTGCGTCGGCAATTCTGAATTATTGACAAAAAATACTAGTACCTCAGTTTACAGTTGTAAATTTTGAGATGACCACGCGTAACAAATGTATTGATTGGTTAAGACGATGGCAGCTGCTATATATGTTACTTTGAAAATCAGTTTTGCCATTATAAAATTTTAAATAGGTTGCCAACCTGTTTAAAAAAATCATCACATTCATTAATAGTCACCCGGTAGTTATTCATGTATGTACCTAGGATGAAAAACTATTATATGCAGGTCTGCAGTTTGGTAGTCGAGGCGTGGCCGAGGACAGCAAACAGGCGAGATTATAACGGGCAAATTACATGTCCCTATGATCTTCTCGGTTTTAGAAAATTAAAAATCAATACAATACAAGCTTTTTAAGTTCTAGAATTCTTTATTTTAATCATAAAACCAAATTCAAAGTTAGTCTCCAGAATTAATGTTAACTGTGGAACGTAAGGGACAAATTCTGAGTTCTTGTCCTAGGTTTATAAGCAGCATTATTTCTTATTCTAACCTGTTGAGGTGCTGTTGATTTTTTTACCTTATGTTCTTGACAACATTTCACGACAGTTTTTATTGGTTTACTGCAATTCTGGGGCTGTGTCACCATTTTGTTAAATTTTGATGAGTATTTTTTGTTAATCATCAATATTCACATGCACATACAAGCTGACTGACTATACATTAGAAAAATAATTAAATAATGAACCATAACGGAATACGTTTATTTACTTTCTAGGTCTATATCTTAAAAAGAATTACAGTTTTTCTCGATTTATTCACGTTGTTGATTCTGTTTCAGACTTTCGAAAAACGAGGAGGAACCACCGACAAGGGCAAAAAATACGAAGATTTAGTTACCGCTAACGTCGCACTACAATTAGTAAGCGACAGTAAAATAAATGACTTTCGCATTTCTTCGAACGATAAAAATTTTGGTGATTTTGATGACCTAGTTATTGAAATTAAGACAGATGGGGAAATAAAAACAAAAGCACTGCAATTAAAACACAGTAACGAAAAAAGACAATTATATATAAAGCAGCTAGCAGGCGAAAAGGGCGACTTTAGTTTAATAAAATATTTCAAATCTGCTCAAGATGTTCAAGGCGAAGTGCAAGAATTTATATTATTCACCACAAATACATTTAAAACTTCAAAAGAAACAAAATTTAAACTAGAAGGAGAAGAGTTTTACCTCAAAGCAATTAAAAAGACAGTATCAGGAGACGATTACGACGTTTTAAGAATTTCTGAAAATATAAATTATTATCATACATTTCAAATCTTAGAGGACGAATGGACTAAACAAAATCCTGAAAAAATTCAGCAGTATCAAAAATTCTTCGAGTCCTTTCGTCTTTACACAACCCAAGAACGTTTTGAAGCTCTTACAAAATCAACAATGAATAAATTTACTGAGATGTTTTGCTCTAACGAAGAAACTTTCAAGAAGTACGTCGAGGTCATATTAGAGTGGAGTATGCGAGATGGAATAAAAGGAAAGCTAAGCAAAAGAATGATGCAACGTGTCATCGCACTTCGTTTGCTTTCTTCTCAGATCGAACCGTTTGTTTTTGGTTCAGTCACAGACGAAATGAAAATACTTCGAGAGGCTATTTGTCTGTTCGACATTACGTTGTTGGAAAAAAAAGGCAGCAACGCAGTTAAAAATTTGTGGGGAGACTTGGACCAAAACATTGACCTCAAAGAACTAAACAAACTTCGAGTACTTTATTCCCTTTCTTGTAATTATATAAGTAGTGTTGAAAATCTGGATGCAAATTTGTTGACACAATTACTATGGCTGATGGAGAAATGTCCGCTTATTGTAAAGGAACACATCAATATGGAGAAAGCTATTAAGGTCTGTCCAGATGCAAAATTTATTATAATTGGCGAGGGAAAATATGAAAAATGGATGACAGAACGCTCTGTGTTTCAAAACTTGTTCAACTTGAAATCAGAAGTCGAATTGTATGAAAAAGTATTGCGACAATTCACCATTTCTATACAAGGCAAAGAACCACGTAATTTGGAGACCGCATTAGAAAAGAAGGACGAAATTTTAAACCATGTTAATGTGAACAAACTTTTAGAAATGTCGAATGGTCCATGCCAGATAGGTGGACAAAAGGAACTTTTTCCGAATCTTTATATCGATAGATATTTGTCAGCCAATATTATAGACAAAAAATATTTAAAAAATGTTGATCGAAATACTGTTATCATTTTAAATTGCCCAGGTAATTCTCAGCAATTCGAAATATCTAAAAAGCATACTCTAACAGACATCGAGGGTTTTTTAAGTAATACAGACCACAAAATTTTTGATAATCCAATTTTTATAACGAGTGCAAAAAATTGCAGTTATTCTGATTTTCAGAAAATATGTTCTAAAGTAGAAGCATCTAAAACCATACACTATTTTAAATTTCTCGACGATCGAAATTTAGAATGGATTGGAAGCAGAGGATCTGTTAATGAACTGCGAAATTATAAATTACCTAGTCGTTCTAAAAACGAAAACGAAATTTGGTCTTCAGAATTCATCAACAACATAAATCTAATAACAGCTGACCCAGGAATGGGCAAAACCGAGTTAACGAAGAGTCTAAAAAACAACTGTTGTGGGAGATATTGGACCGTGATTCTGAGCGCTCAAGATGTTATGTCTTTCTTTAAAAATTCAAGAAAATATGAAATATCAGCAGATTTAAATCTATTCGAAACATTCATTTTAAACGAAAAATATCGACAGCTGGCTGCGCTAGATCGAGAATACTTGACGCTGTGTTTAAAGCAACGCTCTGTGGTTTTTGTATGGGACGCCATTGATGAATTATTTACTGGGTATTTAAATGGGACTTTAGATCTCATTCTAATGTTATCGCAGAAAGGTTTCACTCAGTGGGTTACTGCAAGGCAACATTTGAGGTCTTCTCTTGAAGAAAAACTTGACACTCTGTCAGTTAGTATCAATCAGCTCAGCGAAGTCGAGCAAGAAGATTATATTAAGAAACGTCTTAACAGTTTAATTGCGTCTGCAGATATGAAACCCACCATCGACAAAATTAAATCCACGTTTGCATTTACAAAACATATCGATATATTGGGAATCCCTCTTCAAATTTTTATGCTTACAGACGTATTACTTAAAAATAAAGAAAAATATATAGAGTTATTAAAAAATAAATTTCTCCTGACTGACATGTATCGTTACTTTATTGAAGGAAAATTTAAGTTTTTCTACGAAGATAAAGTACCTGTAAACAATGTTTTTTGGGAAGAAGATGTAAGGAAAAAAAAGGAAGAGAAATTAAAACAGTATGAAAAGTTGGCACTTGGAGTAATATTTCCTGAAGATGTTTTGAAACAATTAAAGATAGATTGTTCGCAAGATATAGATTCTGTTCCTGAAGAATTCGCAACTATCGGTATCGTGACTGGAGTACAAAACGGCATTCCGCAGTTTGCACATGCTTCCTTTGCCGAATATTTTGTTGCTTTATATTTTTCTAAAAATTTTGCAATGGTACGCAGAGCTATATTTTTTGATAAAAAGTATGATAATGTGCGTTTCTTCTTCGACATGTTAACTGGCAAAAATTCACCGGTCCACATCGCGATTTTACACAGAAATTTTGATGAAGTGGAGAACTTTGACGACGAAATAATAAAACGTAAAGATGAATGTGGAAGAAGCGCCTTACATCTCATTTGTTCTTGGGGACGAAGACAAGGGCGTTTAAATGTAAAAAGCGAATCTAGGGATTGTGTTATTGAGGCAAATATGGAGATTATGAGTAATTCATTAGAAACGAAAGAATATTTTAAAGCGTTATTGTTTTTGTTAGATAATTGTGAAATATTAGGACATGATATTTTACATAAAATCACACCCTGGGCCTGTGCACAAGAAAGTGAAAGTTTGGGAGCGGAACTGGAATTATTACAAACACGTAAATCACGATTGGAAGATTCGTATAGTCGAACAGACAAAATTAATATCTTATTTTTTTCCGCTTTGCACGGATACGCAAAAGCGTTTAAAATAGTTGTTAACAAACAATTATTTTCATCTTCGAGTATTTTTAATGAAGAGGTAAATTTTAGTGTTAAACTCGATCGTAGTACACCTCTTATAATAGCTTCTCGAGAGGGGCACCTAACAGTTGTAGAGTTCTTAATCAAATGCGGAGCCGAAATCAATAGGGCTGATAAAACTGGTAAGACACCGCTTTACGCAGCTTCCTCTGAAGGTCACGAAAAAATTGTCGAATGTCTGGTGAAATGCGGAGCCGAAATCAATCGCGCTGATAACATTGGTGCGACACCGCTTTTCTCAGCTTCCTTTCAAGGTCACGAAAAAATTGTCGAATGCCTGGTGAAATGCGGAGCCGAAATCAATCGCCTTGACAAGTATGGTAAAACACCGCTTTATACAGCTTCCTCTCAAGGTCACGAAAAAATTGTCGAATGCCTGGCGAAAAGCGGAGCCGAAATCAATCGCGCTGATAAAGATGGTGACACACCGCTTTACGCAGCTTGCTTTCAAGGTCACCAAAAAATTGTCGAATGCTTGGTGAAATGCGGAGCCGAAATCAATCGCGCTGATTATTATGGTCGGACGCCGGTTTACCTAGCTTCTTCTCAAGGTCACGAAAAAATTGTCGAATGCCTGGTGAAATGCGGAGCCGAAATCAATCGCGCTGATAAAGATGGTGAGACACCGCTTTACGCAGCTTGCTTTCAAGGTCACCAAAAAATTGTCGAATGCCTGGTGAAATGCGGAGCCGAAATCAATCGCGCTGATTATTATGGTCGGACACCGGTTTACCTAGCTTCCTCTCAAGGTCACGAAAAAATTGTAGAATGCCTGGTGAATTGCGGAGCCGAAATCAATCGCGCTGACTATTATGGTCGGACACCGGTTTACCTAGCTTCCTCTCAAGGTCACGAAAAAATTGTTGAATGCCTGGTGAATTGCGGAGTCGAAATCAATCGCGCTGACTATTATGGTCGGACACCGGTTTACCTAGCTTCCTCTCAAGGTCACGAAAAAATTGTCGAATGCCTGGTGAAAAGCGGAGCCGAAATCAATCGCGCTGATAAAGATGGTAAGACACCGCTTTACGCAGCTTGCTTTCAAGCTCACCAAAAAATTGTCGAATGCCTGGTGAAAAGCGGAGCCGTAATCAATCGCGCTGATAAAGATGGTGAGACACCGCTTTACGCAGCTTGCTTTCAAGGTCACCAAAAAATTGTCGAATGCCTGGTGAAAAGCGGAGCCGAAATCAATCGCGCTGATAAAGATGGTGAGACACCGCTGTACGCTGCTTGCTTTCAAGGCCACGAAAAAATTGTCGAATGCCTGGTGAAAAGCGGAGCCGAAATCAATCGCGCCAATATTCATGGTTGGACACTGCTTTTCTCAGCTTCCTTTCAAGGTCACGAAAACTTTGTCGAATGGCTGGTGAAATGCGGAGCCGAAGTCAATCGCGCTAATAAAGATGGACGGACACCGCTTTACGCGGCTTCCTCTCAAGGTCACGAAAAAATTGTCGAATATCTGGTGAAATGCGGAGCCGAAATCAATCGCGCTGATGAACTTGGTCGGATACCGCTTTTCGCAGCTTCCTCGAGAGGTCACAAAAAAATTGTCGAATACCTAGTAAAATGTGGAGCAAAAACCTTTCGATTATAAAAATGAATAATGAAAGTTGAACTCGAATAGTGACCAAAAATCTGCCGAATGCTTAGTTCAACAGCGATCCAAAACTCCTCCACGTCGGGCCAGTCTTTCAATATTCTATTACCATCCACGCCGACCACATTTTTATTTATTATTATTTTGTTAATCAAATCAGGGACGGTTCATTCTATAATTCCGTAAATTTGAGAATGCAGTACTGTTGTTATTTGAAATTTGCTATACCTATCAGTGTCAGCTGGTGCACGTGCCCCGTCCAAAATTACAACGTCTACAAATACACTGGACATAACAAGATAGCAATTTTCAATATTTAAAAAATTCTCCGGAAATTTGTGTCGTAACTTCTAATTTTTTTATCTCGCTCCATTTGTATAAAATGGATCAAAACTTAGATCCATTTACATCTAAAGATGTATGTCTTGGATATATGATATGTTATTATTGCTGATAAAAGCCGGGCACACATGGATAATTTAAACGTTTTATTTACACCCAGTGGCGTAACTACCGGTGTTCCATGTATTCGGCGGAACACGGGCCCGCTTCTTCAAGGGGCCTGGTCCGGTCACACGAACATTTTCGTTTTATTGAATGTTTTATATTATTGCGCAAATTACATCCTGAAATAAAAAATTCGAAAATGTGCGGTGATCCTAAGATCGATCGTTCATTCCTATTTAGGATTTTTTGCTGCAAAGGGCTGAACCTCTGGCGGAATCTCAATATCATAGACTTAATAAACTCGGGTTTTAGCGACCGGCACCAGCGGCCAGAAATGCACTGTCGCACTGTCGCAATCCCATTGTGGCAAATCTAACACCCCATTTAGTAAATTACCAATCTTCAGCCGACATAAGTATGACTAATTTATGATTCAGGACAACAAAATACTTTAATTTTGTCCTCAGATCTTCAGTGAAACTTTATGGTGTAAGACGTAAATAAAATTCAGTTTCAGTTGCGTTTTATGAAAACTTCCGTATTTTCAAAACTATTTTAATTTTGTGTTTGTAGTGCTTTTTGGAATAATCAAATATATATGATGTATGTTACAACCAATTTTTTAAGTAGAAAAAACACTGGATTGCGAAATTATTACAGAATGAGTACCTAGTACCTGCTCTAGTTCCAGTGAAATTATCACAGCATAATTCACTTTTCTTACAATACCACTTTCGGTGGCTTGATCGGAAAGATCTTTTTCGAAATTAAAAATGACAAAATTTTTTTTAAGAAACACAATGGGCCAATGCAGATTATCTTCACTGGCTGTTACCTCAATTGAAAATCAAATTGCCAGAAGATTAGATGTGTCAAATCTCGTATCAACTTGTGCCCATTGGAAAGAAAAAAAACAGTTTCGAGATAACAAAATGGGCATTTTCATTTCTAATACAACGTGTTTCAAAATGATTTTCATCTAGTCGCCCATGGCTGCAGATTTTCATGAAGGGAAAGACAGGAGTTAAAGCGATTTCAAAGCTAATTAGAAAAAAAGTATTTTGAAACACTTTATATATTTTAATTATATGTATTTACTATTTAGGTAGTTATTGTATTTTGATTTTTTTTTTTTTTAATTCAGTGTTTCAGGTAGAATGATTTTAATAAAACGTAAGCCCTAATTGCAATATACGCAAACTTTACTCATTATACTCGTATTTTTAAATAATTATTATTTCGCTGTTCATTGGGGCCTCACAGTGTTGTAGAACACAGGCCCGTAGTTTGATTGTTACGCCACTGTTTACACCGTTGCTATGGAAACCACACGTCCTAGTCATTTGGTTCAATGAGACCGCAGTCCCTTTCTGACAGTGGTCCGCAGGAGTACAATCGCGGATTTTAATTTTCCTGCTGCGCAAGATAGACGTAAAACAGATATGATAAATATTCTTGGATAACCTTGTCGGTAATACAGACATTCGGAAATGACTAAAGACCGCCTATATTAATAACATTCGGACACATAACGCAAGTGTAGACAACAATCGCCATATATTACGCCGATTGATAATGTGCATAAAATTTTGTCGAGTGTTTGAACTTGCTTTACGTGGACATGACGAAAGTAGACAACCACAAAATCCAGGTATATTTCGAGGCCTGACTGATTTTACGACTGAACTGGACTCTACTTTATCAGATCATTTGAAAGAAGCAACAGCTTTTAAAGGAACGTCTAAAACTGTCCAAAATAAACTTTTAGATGCCATCAACGTAAAATTTTGACCGAAGGCAAAAAGGTATGTGGACAAATCCTTTTTTACTTTTATTGAATGTATGATTGTATTTATTTCCTTCACACAATTTCGTCTATTAATTGGGAATAACAACCTGTTTTTTATCTTCATATTTAACTCACAATCAAATTCTGTCCCCCCATTCCAAAAGGTCACCAGCTGCCACTGATACCTATTCAAATTGATATGAGCGTCCTTGCACAATCTGAATGACAATATTGCAAAACTTTATTATAAAAAAACAATGTTCCCTTAACGCTTGAGAGATATCATTACTTTAGTTACAGGATTTATGATAAAAAAAAAACAGAATTCATTAAAAAACTAAATTTATTGGAGTGTACTTCAGAAGCGAGAAATGTTCTGTCTAATACCTTGGACCAATTTTTACCTAGTTTGATTAAAATTAAAATTTGTTTCTACATTATTTATATAGAATATATTTTAATGAATAAGTATGTCTCTATCTATAATCATGAAATACCTGTATAACAAATTATTTTAATTCAAAATTTCATTTCTGTTCGGGCAATCCCCACAATAGTCTCCATATGTCGCACATAATTTTGGCAATGTTCTTGGGTTATTGCCTCAGAAGCATTGTGGATTTGGAAATTGGATATATATAACTCGTCTTCGTTTCTAGGCTGATTTCTTTTAATAATCACTTTCCATTGATTAAATAGTTCCCCAATTGGGTTTGATCTGTAGATTTCAAAGGGGGCTGCGCACATCATTTCCACAGTTCGACCAAGTCTTGTGCAACTGTGTTGAGGAAAGGCCTATATGGAGGTAGAAATACAGGAAAATTTCCATGGGTTCGTAAGAATTGTTGAATCTTTTCAGTTCTTTGAAATCTTACATTGTTCATTAAAATATGTCCGTGCACCCCTAATATTACCTTCTTGCAAGTGACTCGTGATCGAGTAATTACGGCCTCTCAGCTGAGCTTTAACTTTGTTTGCGCTACATTTACTTGGTCATTTTCCGTACGATCTTCTAGAGTGTATCATGTTCCAAATTCATCAGTAACAAAAAGGACTAGTGAAAGTACTTGATAACTCTGTCTATGTTTTCATCAATCCATCGAAATTGTTTTGCCATAAAAAAGAAACTGTTTTGACACAAAGGAAAATACTTTGAGAGACATAGCGCACCATCTAATAAAAGTAGGAAATAGGTGTAACAATTTGTGGAACACAATTGCCGAAAGACGAAAATCAAAAGAAAACCACTATTTTATGATGGACACCTTTGTATACATACCTTTATCTTTCATCTGTCTTCAGATATTGTCAAAGTTTGTACTGTGTTTATTAATTAATTTATTTATCTCTTCTTCTATTTAAATTTATTTTTGAGATACACACAAGTTTCACATCTATGGAAAATATAGACGCAAGCTGAATAATTTCATATGGAGACTTCTGTTATAAATATTTTCTTCATAGTTTGGTCTGAAGTATGATATTCGGATTTTTAACTTTGGCCAAATTTATTTTCTTCTAATGACACAAATTTTGAACTTTCGATAAATTATTTTATAGTGCTCCAAATTTTAATTAGCTGACGACCACATTAATGTAAACCTGATCAGTCACTTTTTTACCAAAATTTTTCAACTATATCTTCGGCCAAACTCAGCGTAGCTTCAACTTTTACTTCAGGTGAGTCATTATCTAAATATATTTGCGTTATCTAATAATGAAATTTCAGTACAAAGTACGTCTTACTATCGAATTTGAAAAATACAAGCAAAACACGTAAACTACTAAGGTAAGTCAAAATATTTTGAAATTAACTTTATAAATTTGGTTTAGGATTTCAGGACAGGTGTTTCCATAATTAAAAAAATATTGGAACCAAAACTTCTGTTATTCGTCAAGAGCTCTTGGAAGAATATTTTGAAAAATATCTCCACTTCAAAATGGATTGTGGAAAACTTTATAAAAGAATATTTAATATCAATATCAAAGAAGTAAATTTCCCGAACAAATTAATATTAAAACTTTAATATTTCATAATGTCACAAAATATTTAGAATTGCAGTAAAACAGATGCTAAACGAATTCTAAACCAGAGAGTTTAGACAAAATTCCTGCATCATCATCATCTTATCATCGTAATCTAATAACTACAAGCTGTCCATATATTCCGTAAACACTGCATACCAAACAGTATGGTGCGATAGAAAATCATCTTACTTAATCAGAGTCATGTTATTTATATGGCCAAATCGCTCACAGGTAACATCATTTAACATATTAGTAACACATTTCAATCAGAGGACACATTCATTGAGGTAATTTTCCATCGCACAATTCATTCTAGTTCTAATAGTACAATAATAATTTTATTATTTACATGTAGTGTTGTAAATGGTCTTTCCAATGTGTAATTTATTTTATCTGTGTGTGTCTCGTATTTAGTACATATATTTAAAAAAAGTTTTGTCAGAATCGCTCAACGGATGCAACATCCATGTTAAAGACCGAAGCATCAACATGAACAACCCGTACTCAAGACGCTTTTTTGTATTTGCATCTGTTCAGCGCTTCGAGTACAAAATATTTAAAAATTTTGAAATGTGAAGTGGCATGATACCTTTTAACTACTTATACTCGGAATTAGCAAGAAACGACGTCAAAGCTGTTTTCCACCGTCGAATATTTTTCTCACTATAGATCTACTGGGTTTGCATAATTAATTTGTACCAAGCCGTGTTTCTCTTCAAGCGTCGAAGTGGCTTGTGGTTTAAATTTGTTCATAGTGTTTTAAGCATTTCACAACGATTTCCCAAAACATACTCTTGACAAACTGTCAAAGTTTGAGTCAGAGAGGAAGCGGGAACTTTACTGTGACCAAATACTGAAGATGCTATACAAGCGTAGCAACTGCGAAACTTTGTTCTTTCTTCAAAATTGGTACACAGATGAAAAAACACTTAACAAAACCAAAACACGTAATTGAAGCAGGTTTCCTTTTGGGACTGTTTGTTGATAAATAGTGCAAAAATCTGAATTGGAGCAAAAAACCGAAGACGGACGGCAACCTTGTCGTATGTTCTTATTTAATCATAGTTTTGTCAGTTTATCAAAAAAGTATCATGACATGTGAGCGATATTTTTACCTTGTAGTTGAAACATTTACAAATATTGTAGTTTATAAGTTGATTACCAGTAATGTAACGGTGATTACTCCAACCAAAGACTTTGATAAACCTTTGTATCTAAAGAGTGTAATCACTCTGTACCTATATTGTAAATATGTACATAATAAGTTAATATGTATATATATATATATATATATATATATATATATATATTACGTGCCTGTTCATTCATTACATGCCAGTGGGTGTAACTATGGTTTTACTATAAGGCTAGACAGTTCGTAATTCATGGATTGCTATGTGGGAGTAGAAAAAAGATTTTGCAGTCTTGAATAACCATGCTACAGTAAAATGTTTATTTTTTAAATTTAATACCACAATTCCTTCTTCTGCACCTGTAGAACGGGTGTTTAGTAGCGGAAACCAAATTCTGATACTAAGAAGAAATAATTTAGGTAACAATACGTTCGAAATGTTGTTAATTTAAAAAAAATCATTAAACAATACATAAAAAAATACATAAACATGTTTTAGTTATTTTATTCGCCAAAGCTTCAAAAAGTATCTATTTTCTTGTATCTGTATCTAGATACATTTCGAAAAAATCGAAAATAATCTGTATATAGATAGATACTTTTAAAAGTATCTGTCCCCACCACTGGGTACCAGTTGGACACCTGTTCTGATTGCTTGGGCTTTACATTGCTCAATGCTACCAGAAAACTATTATGTTAGATATGCTAGATTTGTCAACTGATTTTTCGTGCTTGCAAATATTCTTGTATTATCTACAATTCTACCTATAGCAAGTGACTTAGAGTATTTTCTATTTTGGTGTTAATTCATATATTGAAACCACAATAGAATAATTAGAATAATTTATTTACATTTACAGAAATTTCAACATCAGGCATGTCGTTTTATGAAACAGGGAAAGAAGGTCTTCTCAAATTATTTTCAAATTTTAAGATGTTCGTTGTCACCGTTGTCATATTATAACATTTTTCCAAATTACAGAAAATTTAGATATCTTTCAAACCTAAAATTTGTGCAGAACGTTCCTCCATGAAATAAACGATGTACGCGTATACCGGTTATTGAAAATAATTGTGTATTGAGTAAGCTTTGAACAGTATAATTTGTTAGAAGTTATCTGTGGCTGTTTCTTGCACATGTGAGCACATCAAATTTTATATTTCATGAAGTCAATAAACAAAATAGTGAGTAAGAAAATTTGACAATCTGAAACATATTAATCATATTCTTATCAAACGTATTGTATACTTACCGAAACCAGTAATGGAAATGAAAGAGTACTGAATGGTCCAGCCGTAAGATAGAAAATTTTCTGGCTTTTTGTTAACATAAATAAAATGTCCTTCTGCAATCTAAGATCCGCCTCGTACCATTTTGAAAACCAAATGGATTCAGAGACTGATTCACTCTACAAACAGTATAATAAAAAAACTGTAGGTATCTATTGCAACTTACAGCATTTATTAGAATCTGTCCAGAAAAGCAAGCAAACGCTAAAGCAATTAGGCATCCGGAAAAATGGAGTACTGCACACAAAGGACTACCCTAAAAACAAAAATTAACAGTACAATATCAAATTTACCGCTTATTATTACTTCTGCAAATTCTTTCTCAATGCAAGCAAAACTTACTGCAGTAATGCAAGTATGCGCAAACACGGAGTTCGAAAAACATTCATCGAGTGCCTTTGCCATCCTAAAAGAGGAATTTTATTTAAGATAATTCTGGATTAAACATAATACCTGATTATATCTGCGTGATAGATAACGCAATTTGTGAACATATTTCGCGCAATTTCGTATTTTGTATTGTCGAGTGTTTCGCGAATCATTTGATTCAGCTGCTTGATTCTCAAAATCAAATGTTCTGCCATCTCAAACTCATGATATGTTATTAGCGTGCTGGGTTTCATTAATAACTCTGCGCAAAGAAGAATATACACATGAACTGAATAGTAGATAAATGGATTTTTTGTGCTGAAAGGCGTCCAAATTGAACTGAAAAGACCACAGTTTTCATTCAAATTTTCGTTCCTGTTTTTCTTTTCGCATTCTTCTCTTCCTTGGAATTTTAATAAGTCATACTGTAGTACAACGGCGTTCCTTTTGTTCGAAATTGGGCGGCTTCCCAAAATTTTCAAAATTTGACATTTCCTTGAGAAGTTTTACGACTTTTAATCGATTGTTTGTGTATATAAACGTCATATAATATACGCATGTCGTCGATGCCAAAAGGCTGACGTTGTCTACCAACGACACGTTTAGATTTTCTAAAAAAAAGAACTTAAGATAAAAAACATGGTATTATTTTTTTATATTTATACTTATATGAGAGACTATAAGGTGCATTAACATACCCAGAGGAAAAAATACAGTTATAAGAACGTATACTACAACTTTGATGCTGTAAGATATGCTTGGTTTAAGTTCTTCATTAACACCTGGCCAAAGTAAAATGTATCTTAGATTTCTTCTAGTCGAACGACATATTATAATTTCATTTTTTTGGGCTGCCATAAATTCAAGCTGAAACAGTAATAAATAAAATCAACGTATTCCTGAATTTGCATTGCTGTTGATAACACTCAAGTTAAATTTAAACAGGGACCACTTATAAGTAAGCATATTTTAACAGTCAGAACCCTAAATAGTTGTTCAGAATAATACCAAATGCGTTATTTTGTGACAAATTTTATCACCTAAAGTAACATTTCAAAAATTTACACTGTCGATTTTCGTATCTTTTATTTCACTGAAAATTAAATTAAGTATTTAACAAACAAGTAAGCAAAAATTGTACGGTATATGATACAATGGTACATTTTGCAATAATAATGTCTAGAGTTACCTGAAAAGTTATTTTTTTTAATTGTTTTTTAGTGTTTATTTGCGTAACACAACTGAGGACTTCACCACTATAATGGTTACTACAAGTTTCTCAATGATTGGTTGAAGAGTGACTAGTGTGCTTACAGATACAAATTCGAACTACCAGTACATGTTTGATTAGGATAACAATAAGGTTGTAAGAATATGTTTCTCCCACTATCGTTAACGTATCAGTAATATTTTATTCACCAGTAACTACTTTCAATTACTAGTTGAAATTATTCCTTATTATTATGGAAACTGCTGTTTAATTTAACGTAAAAACGAATATGCATACGACACATAAATCGACAAAAATGTTTAAAGTAAAAGGCCTGATCAGGGTGTACCTAGAGTTATTGCCTAAACCGTGAAATACTCGAAACATAAATAAAAGTTGTTTAGACCTTGGAAAGTGTCACCGAAAATTCTCCGTTAATTTCAACATTTTGGCAGATTAATTTGCGTGCTTTGACTAATTGCATTAAATACAAAAATACTCGTCCCACCATCTCTCTACAAAGGTAACTTAAGTAGGTGTATCTCAAGATGTTCACGGAGTATCAATAAGATACCTTCAATATGTTTCCACTTGTTGATATTCTGTACATTTAATATCTAGGAGATTCTATTTCCTTATTGGTCAAGATATTCCTGTTTGATAACAGAGTTTCTGTCAACATTAGGAGAATTTGATTCTTTATTATTATCAACTTTTATTTTCTTTGCTGCTGCTTTACGAGATTGAAAATTTGGATGGTGAATTATTATTAGAGTCGAATACTTTCTTCAGATTACTGTGCTCGACACTGACTTTAAATAAGGAATAGCTAGATGAATAGTTTGAAGATACTCTATCCGAGCCGAACTTTTTTATATTTGGATTTTTACTGATTTATAAATGCTCTGGGGCTCTGTACATCCTGATGCACAAATACACGACTTTCTTGAAACACTTTTAATTTCTGGCATTTCGTCATAATTTTTAAAAATCAAAAAGTATGTTTTTGTTTTCCTTATTATTGCTGACCTAAGGTCCAAACTTGCGCTTCTTATAGTTCATGAATGAAATTGTGCTGTTATCAATTTAGAGTTTCTTTTGTGAATTCGTGTGAATACATTTGTTATGCATCTTTCCATTAAAAAAAAATATATTTAGTTAAATTTATTTTGAACATTTCAATTATTAGAATCAACTTTCATTCCTGCAAATAGGCCATCGCTTCGCTCTTTGATGTGTCGCAAATTGTGCAATATTTATTATGTACGCTTAAAAAGACCTTTTTTTTGTTTTTATTCCCATACTACAGTATCCAAATTGCGTTTGAGTATATCTAATAATTATCTCCAGGATTAAAATTAATATTTCAAAAGAATACGGGAAATAATTATTCTGTGCTGAAGGTCTGTTGTCGGCAACTTTTCATGAATTATTATTCTTCAATATCGGCTTACAATGTTTTTATGACCATGTCCGGTAATCGTCTATCCCGGTGCGGCAGGTATACACATTTTTGGAAGAATTGCTGGTTCCGTTTAAGGCAAAGTAAGTACAATTTCTTAGGAAGGTATTTAAACCCCTTATAGGATCAAAGGCTGCCTGGCAGGCCGGAATCACCAGAATGTAACTTTAAATTTTCAGATTTTTGTTGAAACTTATTTTACTTTAATCTCGTTTCACGATCTCTGAGAATATATCACGATAAATTATTCTACCGAGGGTTGTAAAAATATTAATTTTATTGCCCAAGACTTACACTTAAACATAATCGGCACATTCTAGGGCAAAACGGACCTACCAAGCCCGCCTCGCGTTAGGTCCAACAATGAAAAAGTGAAGAAATAACACATGTGACAACAGGAAAAGATGTTACATTTGTCTGAAAAATAAAGGTATAAAACAGTAACAAATATGCGATTTATGCGAGAGAAATGTATGTATTGAACATTCGATTAGTCGATTACAGAACTAATTTGTGCTAATTGAAAGAATTAATCATTGTGTAACACGCAATTATTATTTTCTAAAAATAATAACTTACCTTAAACAAATATTTTTACTATTAAAATTACTCTTATTTAATAATACAAATACAGCCAGCGGGTCTACCGGACCTGGGTTTCTCAGGTACACAGATAAAATGCATTGCCCCGACAAGCCTAAAACGCAGTGAATAGTGAATTATGGTTAATGGATTTTAAAATACCATCTTACCGTGGCTTAGATTTATTACCCCTCAGGATTATATTTAAAGATGTACCTATAAGTACTGAAGGCTACAATGTAGGAAATATCAAAAAAAGTATCAAAAATTACTACTAATATATCTCAACTAATAACTACTGAAAAAAGTGAAACAAAAAAATGTATGTGTATCTGCGCCATTAATTTTGTATCTAGATACAGATATTTTGTGCTTAAATTCGATTTTATCTAGGTACAGATAATAGATACCCAAACATGTATCTAGATACTTTATTTAGGTACAATAAGTATCTACTCTTAGATACTGCCCAACACTGGTCAAAATATTTTATGAGGCAGCAAATTTTGTAATCAAAGTAATTTTAACTTTATAAAGCAAAGATTAACAATTTACTCCAAAAAGTAGTAGTGGAAATTAAAGTAGAACCCTAAGGCTATCTTCAAGGCAAAAATTCTCTCTGTATTTTCACCCTATCAAAAGTTAACGTGGGGTCTAAAATTTAACATGGAAATCTCTAAGGCCACTTTTATAAAATATGCACTGTATAATTTTCATAATTTGTTTGTTTTTTTGTTCATATTTTTATGTTTTATTTATCAATTTTGAGACTTCTTAAACTTTCCCTTACTTTCATAACTTTGTATGCATTTTATAACATTAATATTAATAATAATAATAGTATAATTTCCAACAGACTAATTGTCTATAATGGAACACCAAACCTTATTAACGTCATTAACATCATTAGAAAATTAAAATATAAATAAAAAATTAATCATTAATAAAATGAAAAATTACATATGTATACAAACAAACATAAAACAAAGTAGCGCAACATTAATAAATGGTGATATAAAAGCTATAGCGCCTGACACCTTTTTAATAAATTAATCCTATTACTAGATACAGATAAATTATTATCGTGAAATATGGCAAAGCTCATTCCGATACTACAATTTTACATTTACATTACAATTTACAATAGAACATTCTACTCTTTGCTGTGTATGTGTCTTATTTTTCTACTTATTTTCGAATTATGAAGAACACACTTTCGTTGCCTATGTTATAAATTATATTGGAATAATTTAGCATCTGATTTAGAGTTAGTTGATTAGTGGCGGCTCGTGACTGTCTGATGTGGTGAGGCGATGATAGAAATTTAGAGACAATAATAACATTAATAATAATATTAATAATCAAATTAATTAAATTAATCTCATCATAGACCTAAACGGACATTAGTTGCTTCTGCAATTTTTTCGTCTGTTCATTTGAACCAAGAATCTCATTTGACTTCTATTGAAGTTAGACATACACAAAGCGCAGGTTTACGATGTCCTTACAATTTACAATTTCATAGAATCAGAGATGTTACATCAATGTGTATTTCTTAACCAAATATCTAACTTCAACCTAGCCCATCTAGCAACAGATGTACAAAGCACAGGTTTGTAGCGTACCCTGACTGATTTTTTGTCTGATTTATTTTGTATATTTACAGCAGAATTAGAACCATGAGTAACAGCCTAACCCCATGTATCAACAAATACATAAAGCACAGGTTTATTACAAGTTCTGACTGATTCATATATATATATTTCTGTATTATGTATATTTGTAGCACA